AATCATGTGACCATTTTATGGAGCAGCAGCTCCCACCTCCATACGGCCCGCACTGAGGCTCAATGCTACATCCCTGTCCTGACTGCCGTACATGGTACGGCCTCGGCCATGCAGGTGTACGTACTCAGCGTGCAGCACCCGCTAGAAGGTGACAACCGCATGCCGGGAGGGTACGGCGGCGCCGATACGTACGGCGCGCCGGTGGGCGGTCGTACAGTGGACTGCGTGTCGAGCCACCCGCTCCGCTGCCCGTTCATCATGTCGTTGTGCGCCCGGCTCAGCGCCACCGCTGTCGATATCAATGCGCTGGCGGCGGCGGAGGCGGCGGAGGCGGCAAACGGGAAGCCGCGCAAGGCACGCGGCAATGGCGGCGGCAATGGCGGCGGCAATGGCGGCGGCAATGGCGGCGGCAATGGCGGGGCCCAAGGTTCGATCGTATACAGATATACATATGTGCACATACGTAAATGCTGGTAGCAATGCCGTACATTGTTGTACTGTACGGCTGCGTTCCGGATGTCTGCGAAATGGAAATCTCCCCGGTGGGGTGGGGTGGGGTGGGGTGGGGTGGGGCTGGGCCATGTTTTTCGGAGTCCAGAGCTGAGGACCTCGCCAGACGAGTGGACGACGCAGCGGACGGTCAGATGGTGGGGAATGTTACACTGTAGCGTCGTTCCAGCGTGCCGTACGTACGACATCACATCCCAAACCCTTCAGCCCTCTAGTTCGTAATTGCCTAATTAAGAAATCCGCCGTCAACAACCTGACCGCACAGAACAAGGGCGAGGAGGCACGTCGCAACAGTTGCGGCCAACCGCAGCTGCCCCCGCGGACCTCATTCCGTACGGCTTCAGATCCGCTGCCGCTGCCGCCGCCGCCGCCGCCGCTGCAGCCCCGTCGGAGCTCAGTATCGCTGGTAGTCCTTTCCGTACGGGAGATATCCGCAGCGCCGCTGCCGCCGGCGGCAATGGCGGCCTTGCCGCAGCAGGCAGCCTTCCAAGCGGGATACTGTCCGGCGCCTCCTCCGTCACTCGCGCCCGCCAACGGCAACACCACGACCAAGATCATCCCCACCACCGCCGCCACAGTTCGCAGTGGCTTGGACTTCACCGCCCCCGTCACGGCGGCGGTAGCGGCGGCGGCGGCGGCAGAAGCCTAACGCTCTGTCGCCAGAGCACACTGCGACAGCGGCGGACTTTAGCGTTGGCGGCAGCGTGGGAAGCTGAACAGGCCCGGCGGGACGGGGCCGCCGCCGCGGCAGCGGCGGCTTCCGAGGAGGCAACGGTACACGGCGGCGGCAGCGATGTCAACGGCGGTAGTGACGGCGGCGGTGAAGTAGTTGGCGGCGGGATTGGACATGCGCCGACGCCGAATCTGCCGGCGGCTCCCATGTCACCTTTGCCGCCAACGCCGTCTCCAGCGCCACCGCAGCTATCGCCCTTAGGGTCGTTTCCCCCGCCGCCACAGCAACCAACGCCGTTTTTGCCTTCCACGATGCTAACTCTCACTGGGAAAGGCAGCGGCGCCGTCGCTGCCGCCGCCGGCGGAGTCCCGTCCTACCCGCCCCCTGCACCGGATGTGCTTGGTGGTGGCGGTGACGGTGGCGGCGCCGCCGCTGTAGCTGCTGTACCTAAGACGACGACGACGACCCAACGCCGCCCGGTGCCTGCCAGCGGCGGCGGCTTCGGCGGCGTCTCCCGCATTATGGAAGGCGACACCGCGATGCTGGACATCGAACTGCCGTACGAGCTCCGTGCACTGGAGACAGCGCTGTACGAGGCAGTACGGCTGCTGGATGCGCAGGTTTGTGTACGATTGGCGAGGCAAACAGCTGCTTGTCTCCGTCGTCCAGTCTGCAAACCCTCCGGCATTGTTTCCCCTTATCAGGAAGTGGCGTCAGTTGTGGGGTTTGCGCTTTGTGGAGTGGTGTGCGGCTGCGTGTGCTGGCTGTGCGTGCCTGTTGTGTTTTTTTCCTGTGTGGGGGCTGGGCGAGTAGCAGATGTGGCCGACGGCCGTAAGCCTACAATTTTAACGGCAGGGCAGGATGTGTTCGCTCGACCTTTTTTTATCGTGCGTGTTATAATGATGTATACTTTGCTCCGACTTAACCGTTAATCCCATCATCATCTCGCGTTAAAATTTTAAAACTCTAAACACCTTAAAACGTCCAGGTCGCATGGCTCGAGGAGCACGTGCCCCGGGCCGCTGATGACCTGGCGCGGGGAGTGAGCCCGGCCAAGTTGGAGCGAGTTCGGGAGGCCAAGAGAGCCATCAAGGCGGTGGGGGGCCGGGCCCGCCGCCTGTCAGCGGCACTGCGCGGCATACTGGATGATGACGACGATATGCTGGTACGGCCGATGTACGGACGGTACGGCAGATGGGGATTTACTGCCATCTTTTGCATCGATGCCTTTTTTTCTTTTCGACGGGCGATTCCCGTCCCAATAACGTGTATGGAGAAGACCCCTGCTGCTGCTGCTGCTGCTGCTGCTGCTACTAACTGCAACTGCAACTGCTACTGCTACTGCTGTTGCCGCTTCTAACCCCCCGTGGTTGTCCCTGTGGGGGTTGCCCCTCCGGGCCTCTTTCCACATCCGCCCCCTGCCTGCTGCTCCTCCGGGCCGTTCTTTCGCACCTACCCACCTACCACCCTACCTACCTACCTATATACATACATACATACATACATACATACATACATACATACATACATACATACATACATACATACATACATACATACATACATACATACATACATACATCTGGCCAACGCCTAAATCTCGACAAAGTGGAGCTGCTGTGGATTGGCCAATTAAACCAACAGCAGGCGCAACCTGCAACCCAGGCCGGACCCCAATCAGCTGCCCCTCAGCAGGAGTCAATAGGAGGTCTCAAGGTGGTGACCACCGCCACCGCCCTGAACCTGCCAATTGACAACCAGCCATCCCCGCCACAGCCCGACTGGATGAAGAGACTCGGGGAAGCCAAGCGGCGACTGCAGCGGCTCTCCCGCTTCCCGCTATCAGCATTCGGTCGAGCCACAGCGGCATCGGTGTACGGAATGCAGACAGTCACCTGGCACATGGAGCATGGTGGGCCGCCCCCCAACCGTACGCTGGACGAAATAGAACGCCTAACGGCCCGCCTCGTCGACCGGCAGCAGGGCCCAGAAGACCCCGGCCGCCGTTTGACAGGGGTGCCTAAGGATCTCTTGACCGGCCACCCGTCGGCTGGAGGCTTTGGCCTGCTGCCCCTCCAGCAACACATCCAGGCTCGGCATGCGGTATGGGCTGTGCGCTTCATCATAGCGGCCCTCGGGCTATCTAACGCGTCATGTGGGCCAGGGACAGGTGGAGCTGCAGGAACCACAGGTGGTACCGGGGGACA